GTAGAGATTTACTTGTTGTTTTCCTGAGATATTTCTTTGTTCTCTGAGTTCGCTGTGGTTTTCTTTTTCTCGCTTAAGAGCCTAGCCCCCGACTGTCTAGTTTCTTGAATGAACCGTCTTCAGTCTTAGTGTTCGATACGGCTAAGGAAGTCGTAGTTGCTTGTTTTTTCGTATTCTGTATTATCGACTTCTTCGGCTTCTTCTATTCACGTCAGTGGTAATTAGGATTCCTAAACTTATCGACCTCGATTTTTAGATTTTTTGACTCTCCCTCCATCTTCAAAATTTTGAATGAGTCTGGAACTTGTGGTTCAGATTTCATCGTCGTATGTGACATCCCCCAACGTCACTAAACCTTTTGCCCGTCTGACGAGCACTGGTGTGATAGCAGAACACGTCAATAGCATAATGGTTATGACGGTTTTCTGGCAGATCGACTACTCGGTTTCCATTTCGGCCAGGAGCAGACAATTTACCTCATGTTTTGGGGGCATTTCTCCGAATACCATTATTGAGTATACAATTCTCAAGCGTTTTTCATAGAGGTATGAGACGAATTTGCAACCAGATTAACGATATAAGTTAAGCGACTCAGTCTTTCCTACATTTTGGGGATTTTCAGTGTTGTTGCAGAGAGGCGACCGGACGAAGTTAGGTTATCCCAAACAAGTCCTGGTGCAGGTTTGTAAGGATAGACCTATCACAAAGACAAATTGGGTTCTTAATAACCCCAATCCACTAGGACGTCCAGTAGACAGATAACCCGATAAAAGTGAATTCCTCGGAGGTTGAGATTTTCAAACCAAATTTGAATCGCGCGGCAGCTGGAGTTCAAGCCCCTTGCGGTATGGCCACTGATGTGAATTTAACAATCCATTACAGTCTTCTAAACGTAATGAAAACGGGAAGTATTTTGCTCGTAGGATTGCTTCCACCGCTTGACATGCGCAAGAGCCTATCCACGCGAACTTTACTGCAATAAAAACATTGCCATCATAAATCTTTTGCGCGAAAAAATAACACCTCGTACTGAGATATACCCCCTCATATCCAGTTAGGCCTATATCTTAGGACGTAAGCAAGAACATATGGGAATCGATCTTAAGGTATTTCCTTGCTTATTTCCTTTCGCACACCAGATTTTGTCGCTTAATTTGAATCTTCCCATTGTGAATTCTCGGTTAAACTGAAACATGTATTTGAGCAGCCCAAAGTGCAACATAAGCGAAGACAAATGAGGGGGTAAAATGAGCCACCGGGCTATGCCTAAGTGTTGTCACTGTAACGCGGAGCGACAGGATGCTAAAGCCAACATCGAGGCCCATTTCGAGCCAGGACAGCTTTATGGCTTGTGAAAACGTCTTCTGCATGTATAAGATTCGGTTGCCTAATAATTTCGATTCTGTTTCTGCCGTTGCGAATATCCGCTGGCGTAAGAACATGGAGTAATACGTTGATACATGGTTGTCGGCTATAGTATGCGACGCTGTCAGCCTGACAACCAGGACTGCGCTAAAGATTGACTTTTTCGTGCCTCGATTTAGTCAGGCAGAATGGTGCTCTCGCAACCGCTTGATCAGGCGGCTAATCGTTCGATCAATTCAAACAGTCTCACGGGAGTATACGAAGGTATACATGAGTATAGAGAAAAATATAAATGGGCAGTCTTCTCTTACCTTCAGGAAGACAAAGTGAAGTACGTGGGAAAATTACTCTTATCTCGATGGTTGAGCATGCGCGCGCAATATTGTAAGTTTGCTGACCGATTCCTCCCGAAACAGCAATGCGAGAAATGCCGCCTTTTTCGGCAGTGGGCACATCTTTTTTGGTAGACGTTGTTCCATGTATTCAGCCATAATCCCATTGGAGAAATCATATTTTCGTCGTGTTTCTCGCAAGAAACAGGCTTGTTATCCGGCGTATCTGGAGTACATGTACTTATAGTTCCGTTGGTCAGGGAGCAAATTAAATTCCGCTTCCAAATAACAGAAACAAAACGATGTAAATTTGTGTCCTGCTCTCTCTATGTTTTCTTGTGAAATACGCTTCAAAAATTGCTCCAACAGATGTTCTTCTGTGTAGGACGTCCAGAAAGGGAAAGCACTTTTCATACCTTTTTCTGACCTGAAGGATAACGCTGGTTAAACCTGATTAACTTTATTCAAGAGGGTGCGCAGATAAATTTTCTCACCTACTATTGCAAAAATTTCATCAACATATCAATCATGGTACTCAGCTGTTTCTTTTCTGGTTTTTTTCAGCGGGGTCTCACCGGGCAATCCCACTACTAGCCCGTTGGCCTGACAGTGTATGTGGCACTCAAGTCTGAATTAAACATTCAACATACGTACAAAGAGCAGCTACGAATGGAAGAGAATATGCGCATCCCAGGTTCTTGTTTAAAAGAAGGCAAAGGCACGATCACTGGGACAGTAGGTTTATTTGCCTGAGCTTTCGAACTCGAACTAGAGTTCATCATCAGAGACTACTCGATTGCAGCAAATTGTGAACATTTATATCCTTCGTCC